TCAAAGATCCTTTTTTCGGCATGAGTTAGATACCCAAGATTTGAATAATTATATAGAGTACATAAATATTTAGTTAGATATGTACTTTACCCTTTATCACTTTCCGCTTAGCAATATTTCCTTAGGTGTAGTTTTGAACGGAGTTGGAATATATTTATCCATAAAATTCTTGTCTAAATTCGAACTTAACTCAGTATCAAAATCTCAATGATTTATGGATGGCAGTGTAACTTAGGAAGTTTCCATTTGTTGAAGGTTTTGTTTCAAAGATGGAGAAAGCTGCTGTGACGAGATTGACCGGAGGAGAATGGATTATAAAATTTCATTTGTTGAAGGTTTTGTTTTAAAGATGGAGAAAGCTGCTGTGACGAGGATTTACCGGAGGGGAATGGATTATAAAATTTCATTTATTAAAGGTTTTGTTTCAAAGGAATTATAGAAATATCTTTAGCGACGCCTACCGGGAGAAATAAATTTGTACAGTCAATAAATTCTGTAACATCAACCTCATTGTCATTTGCTTTCTTGTCGAATGTGTTGTTCTTATTTTCTAAGTTATCATTGAATTCGTTATTTGCAGTTGTTTCTTGGTCGCCCATTTCATTATGAATTTCCACTTCTGTACATGACTCATTCGTAACAAAGTCGACTGGAAGTTCATTGGAAGACTTGTTCATGGCTTTGACTTTCATTTTCTTCCATAATGAAAATAAACTGGTGTGCTCTACTGGTTCTTCCCAAATTGACCCAGAAAGCTCAAACAATCGAAGCATATAAATTGAGATGCATTCTTCTACAACTCTTAGGGCGACTTGAAATTCTGTAGGTTGTCGTTGTTCTTGTATCTTTTGACAGTTTTGTGCTCCCATGTATTTTTTAAAGTATTTTCTAAATCTAATATTTTCAACATTAAAAGGCACAAGTTCGCAACCCTTGAAACCACTTAGCTATATCGGGAATATTTACCATTTTTTAATCTTTCTCTCTTTAATCTCTTTTTCCATTCACGTTTTAATGATCGAAAGACTGCAACGTCTAGAGGCTGTAAAATATGTGTTGCGTTTGGACACTGAGCTATTAGAATAATATTATTATTACTACAAAATTCACTTAGGGCCATCGTTAAGGGTGAACTTACCGTAGAAAAACAGTATAACTGGAAACTGCACTTTTTGAGCAACTAACCAAGGGTGGAATATATTAGCGATGTACTCAAAAAAGTTTTCGTCAGTTATCCACCCATTTTCAGACATTCCTATCCCCCAGTGAGCCGGTATTTTCTCGATAACTGATTTGGGAATTCTAATATATTTAAAAAAACATCATGGGTGGTAAAATTTGACCGGAGGCACTACAGGTAACCAAAGTTGTCAGACATTCCTTCTCATCGTTGCTAACAAACGAATAAACTGTTCTATTCCCCTTTCTAACCAACACTTTGTCTCCCTTAGGAGTCAGGAAAAAAGCCGATTTATCACAATTGAATACACCACTAGGATCAAAAGTTATGTTGCGATTGTTTGTACTTTCTGAAAAGGTCCGTACTTCAATAAACCGTTGACGAATTCGATTTTCTGTTATAGTGTTTCTAGCATAAGTTAGGTTTTTTGAAATTCTTGTAGACAGTTCGGGATGCCTTTTTAAAAATAGTTCGTACTATTTACGTCCAGGCCTACCATCCACGAAATTATTAGGCGTATTAAGTCCTATAAGCACTAGCTGAACATCCAACAACTGCGTTTTTGTTGCAGGACATCTACAGTCTGTAATCCGAAATAGCCATGCTACCAGTAGGTTTTCTTCTTCTTCTGTTAGTGTGGTCCTTGGTCCAGATCTCTTCTCTAAAGAAGTTCTACCCTTTACTTTATCCTGTAGAGTCGATCTGGGTACCTTAAACAACTGCTAGCTGTTTTAAATAGCATTCCTTACTGAACAGCTACAACAGCTTTGTTTATATTTTCAGCAGAATATTGAATTCTCTTTTCCATTGCTAATTTCTGAATTGTAGTCTAAAACACAGAATTTCCAATTATCGGCACGTATAGGCATGTATTATCGGCAGTGTTATACTCGGTCAAATTATGGCTATTTCTACTAGAGATACGGGATGCCAAAAATTGGTACAAGAAAACATCGTTTTTTATTGCATATAATGACCAAACATTTGTCCTAGTAAGTTAAAAGATTACGCTAAAATCAGCTTATATATAGTCTAATGCATATAACCAATTATCGGCACTCCAGCCTATGATTGGATCATCTGCTAATATTTACGTACCTATTATCGGCAGCCTCAAAATGCTACAAAAAGCTATATAGTTTTTTCCAACAAATAATCAAAATAAACTATTTCTCAACATATAAAACATAGTAAAACGGTTATTTGATATTTTAATCAGGAATTATAGCATTCTGTAGCTTACCTGTTTCTGAACACATATAAGTTACACGAGAAACACTTCTCACAAGAGATTGGCGCCAACTGACCAATATAGGTATTTTTAAAAGTGATTGCAGTTTTGGTCTGACAATTGGCATATTGTTCATAGGCGTAGATAAAGGTCCTTATAAATTAGTGAAATACTTTCGTCCAATAATCACGCACAAGAATTCTTATTTTTGTCGATTATGTAGAATTACTGCCGATAATTGGGGTACTGTCGAAAATAGGAGCGTTTACCTTACATGATCGCAATAAATACACTCCGCGTCATAGAAAACGGGTTAACCCAAATATTTAAAATATTTTCCGAATTATTATTTATTGCTACAAAATTAAGCATTTATTTTTTCGTATATTTAATCAATACTCGTTTAGTATACATCATTATCGTAAAACATCATTCAAAAATAAAAAATTTAAGAAAAATAGGAAATTTATTGAAAAAATCAACTTACAGTTTTTAAAACAACAATGAACTGTATATTAAAAATAAAGCTGGTATCCATTTTCAGTAATGGGTATTGCCATCTCTATTCTGGATGACAGTCCTCATTCGATTTAGCATAGAATTTATAATGTTTTGGATATCTCTTTGGGGAAAAGTGGCCCATTCCTCAATGAGTGCCATCTGGAGCTCTCCTGGTATTGTTGGAGCAGGTATGTGATGTCTAACGCGACTTTTTAGCAGGCTCCATATATGCTCAATAGGATTTAAATCGGGGCTTTGAGCAGGCCAGTCTATTTTTTGAATACCAACCTCGTCAAGGTACTCCATTACTATCCTTGTTGTGTGTGGTCTCGCATTATCCTGCATTAGCAGGAATTCGTTGACAATAAATCCAGCTTAGGGCATCACATGATGTTGTAAGATTTCCGTTATGTACCTTACTGCTGTTAATGCGCTTCTATCGATCACTACGAGATCCGTATGCGCATCGAAAGAAATCCCTGCCCAAAACATTACTGAACCACCACCAAAAGCAACCCGTGGTGCCCGAATGCAACCAGCGAAACGTTCTCCAGCTCGTCTGTACACCTTACTACGTCCGTCTTTACCATTAATAGACATTCTACACTCATTCGTAAACAATACTTTTTCCAATCGTCTGCTGTCCAATTGATGTGCTTACGGGCAAAATCTAGTCTTCGACTTTTGTGAGCTGGGGAAAGTAAGGGTCCCGTTGCTGGACTACAAGCTGTCAAACCTTGCTCCCTTAATCTTCGTCGAATAGTAGAAAGGCTGATTGCTGGTCCTTGAGCTTGCTGTAAATGGCCTTGAAGCATTCTAGCGGTTTGGGTCCGATTCCGTAATGCAGCAAGAAGGACGACGCGATCTTTCCTAGCGGTTGTTTTCCTTTTTTGACCCGTACCAGGTCGCCGTTGGTGAAATCCTGTGACAATAAATCGTTGCTGGGTCCTTTGTACAGTCGAACGACTAACATTCAATTGTCTTGCAACTTGTCTTTGACTTAATCCACTTCCCAGTAACGTTACAATTTCAACCGATTTTTGAAAATTCTCCATCGTTATTAACTGAAGACTACTTCACACTAAGTCGGTTACTGTAATACTGAGATGCGTTTAAAACCCATTAGAACCCTTTACAATATCAAACATTTCTCAAAACAATCGCTTCCTCGAAAATTAATCAAGTTGTAAACAACTTTTTCTCAAAATTGTTTTGTTTTAAAGGTTCTACGAATATCCTCAATCCAGTTACAGGGTCGGTTTGCTTTAGCAACAACCCATTTAACTTAAATAACCCAAGACACATTAAAAATAAAATAATGTTAATTCAATATACAACAAAATAAATGCTTAATTTTGTAGCAATAAATAATAATTTCGAAAATATTTTAAATATTTAGGGTGGCCCGTTTTCTATGACTCGGAGAGTATTTAAATTGAGGCGCAATAATATGAAACAGTGAATAAAACTTCCAATGAATTTTTATTTTCAGAAATTTATAGGGTGGCTACTTTTTTTGCTGTTCAGTGTAATTTAAATAATGCTTATCTAAAATTTAGAGACTTAGAATTATTTTTTATACATAAAGGTGATGCAAGATACGTCAAAAAATATCTGATGTAATTCTAAATGTTAAGTAGAAAATTATGAAAAATAATGTTCAAAACAAAAAATAAACCAAAATTGATGATTTTTTAAGAAGTAACTCTTACCTTATTTACATTAGTATTTTTTTTGTTTTATTTGTGAATATGCTTATGCAAATATATACGAAAATACATAATTAAAGATAAAGCAAATCGAAACCTTTTTTTTATTTCAATTGATTAAGCGATAACTCTACATAAGGGGCAATTATTTTCCCTGTTGATGTCCGTTATGAAGAAGTCTCATTATATATATATATATATATATATATATATATATATATATATATATATATATATATATATATATATATATATATATATATATAGATGGAACAAATGAAAGATAAATCAAGAGAAGACATGTAGCGAAAAAAGGATGTCAGTCACGAAGGAAAAGTACTACGTTCTCTGAAAGAAAAAAATAATGTTAACAACTTACCGAATCTCTTTTTCCCGCAGTATATTGTGGTAACAAACTAACTGCCTCCTTAAAATCCTTCTCTATATCCCCACTTAACTTGTAATTGTATCTGTTGGTAACTTGGCTATTAAAAATTATTTCGTTGATTTCGTCTATCGGTGGTGGTGATTTACTTTCAGCCAATTTCAAATCATCTGAATCTATGTTTATTAACATACCCACGGGTGGTACAGCTTGTTGATCTGAAGAACTCTTTGCACTGGTGTGAACCCTCGCTAAGGCTGATGTAAAGGGTCTATGGGACATTGCAATCACTTTCTTGGTGACAATTTCTTTATCTTTATTTATGTTGTTTATTCAGCAATCTAAAGTATAAAAGAAATCTAACAATAAAACACTGAAAACTTTTGTTTTCTACATTTTCACAAAATTTACTATAATTTTTTACCACGGCATTATAAAGAACTGGCATTATTAATTACGAAGTCGAGGTCGATCGAAAACGCCGTTACTCGACGAAATTTAAGTTGATCATGATCATAGAATTAGTTATATCTAAGTTATAGACGTTATAGAATATCGTGCAATTATACTTAAATCACAGTTATAAAATATGTTAAAACACTTACGTTCGTCTAACTGTCCCATTACACCAAAACAACAATCAGAATAATCACGGAAGCATTATTTCAAAATTTATTGCGACATTATTGCGAATTTTTTTGTCTGCAGGACTACAATCAGCATAAAATTAAACAAGCTATTAAAACAATATGTTGTTAGTGAAGATCTTGTTTTTTCTTACTGGGAATTTTATTCATTTCGCAGTCAATGAATTCCAACAAAATTATTTAAAATAAGATATTTCAAGAGGTACATAACACAGCAAATTTAGTTCGTTGGAAAAACCAGTTTGTGCATTTTAATAACTGGCCATCATCAGAGACGGACTTAATCGATGAATTTGGATCGATGATCGGATATAATTATTTATAGTTTAACTGTTAATATAAATTTTATAATCTTTAATATGAAATATTTATTTAATTTTTCTTGTTCAGTCCAAAATTCTACGTATAAATGCGAAGCATTACGATGAACGGGATAACGCCATGAAATGTCACTCCAAGCCATTGGTTCAAGAAGACTGTGACAGTTAAAAAAGATCTCAAGACTTTAACACTTTCGCTGCGGAAGATGCCATACGGTGTCTACATTGCATATGTTATCAAAAAAGTTCTAAAACAAAGTTTTGCAACGTGTTAAAATTCACTTGTCCACTTGAAACAAAGTATTCCAACCCTTTCACCTGTGAAGATATTACGGAAGCTCTTAATGAAATGAAAACGAGAAAAGCATCTGGCTTTTATGACATTCGGGCTGAGTTTCTAAAGCACAGTGGTACGTTTACTAGGTAGATAATAGCATGCAAAGTTCTTCTCCTACATTCTTCAGACGCCAAATGTTCCTCACCAAATCAAAAAAGCAAAAATCGTCGTTAAAGTCATCAAAAAAATTAAAACAAGGTAAAGCTGACGATCTCCCAAAAAATGACCGCCCAATTGTACTACTATATTTTTGAAAGATTGCCGTACAAACAATATTTCAACATATACTTGTGAATACAGCAGGATTTCGAGCAAGCTGCAGCTACACAGACCAAGTCCTAGCACTGACGAACCATATAGAAACAGACTTTCAAAGACGGCTAAAAATATCTACTGTTTTCATTGATTTTTTAACAGCGTACAATACCATATGAAGACGAGGGATAATATATAAATTAATGCGATCGATTTCATGCAGAAAGATGACTGATGTCATCAATGCTATGCTATGCAACAAAGGTGTCGAAGTTATCATGGGCGATAAGACTAGTAGTATCCAAATGAAATTGAACAAGAGCCTTCCGCCGACTAAACCAGGCTTGTCGTATTATATCAGGCACAATCAAGGCCGTGCCAACGTACTAGCTACCAGACCTAGACTACATTTCCCCCGAGAACATGCTCTTAGGGAGTATAGAAAAATTAACGCCAATCTCCTGCTAAGGTCCCACGGCGGTATCACCGTTAGAGACAGGGACAAGTATCCCCTCTCCTAGATCACCATCATTCCTTTTTTAATCTACAATTATATCAAGAAATACAAAAGTAAAACTCTACAAAACAATTATACGCCCAGTCCTAACATATGGTTCAGAAACCTGAACTTTAACAAAAAGCAATAAAAACATGTTAGGTTGTTTCTAAAGAAAAAAAGGCGAATATATGGAGTGGTAAATGAAAATGGTGTCTGGAGAAGACGATACAACTTCAAACTCTATAGAATATACCAGGAACCAGATATTGTAAAACACATTAAGATAGGACGTCTGAGGTGGGTAGGACATGTAATGCGGATGGAGCAAACCGACCCAGCTAGAAAAACGCTTTTTCTAGCTGAGCCGGTTTTACGAATTTACAAAGTCGCCGAATTTACAAAGCAATTTTCAGTCTAACGACATTGCGAATCCTGGAGAAATTCTAAGAAGTATGAAACGTGGTGCTCGCCGAAAATTTGCAGATAAAAGTCAATGACAACGTAATATAAGAAAAAAATTACGAAATAGTGGACGTGAGTATACAAACATTAAGGGTAATGTAGTTGCTGCCAAACAGTTTGATGCATCCGAATGTCGTTGTTTTAAAGAATGCCATAAACTCATTACTCTTCAACAGCTTGAAACTATTTTTCAAGATTTGTATGAACTCGCCAATTATTATTTACAGACATCCTACTTATGTGACCAAATCAAACTTACTTCAAAATTAACCAATACTGCTCAAAGTGACTCCAGAAAATACACAAGACAATATTATTTGACAAGAGAAACAGTGCTAGATTCCAGTTTGCAAAAAGTTTTTTAAAAAAGTCGTGAGAGTTTCAGTTGGTCGACTTACACGTGCTTTGCGTAACAAAGAGCAAGGTGGCACACCTTCTAAGCATAAAAGAGGAAAAAAGAACCCTCATAATAAAACAAGTCAGGAGAAACTTGACAATGTGTTTCATTTTATTTCGAGGTTCCCAAAATATCAGTCACATTATTCTAGAAAAAAAATCCCAATCTTTGTTATTTAGCGCCCACTTTAAATCTGTCAACTACGTATTCTTTATACAAACAAGAAACAAATGATCCTGCGTCATAATTTGTTTTTAGGGATGTTTTCAGAAAAAAATTTAATCTAATTTTTCATGCGCCTGTATCTGACAGTTGTAGAAGATGTGACGAATTTGAACAAAACATCAAAACAGAAACTTCTGAAGTTACTTTGACAAGTTTAAAGTTAGAAAAATAATTGCATCTTCGAAAGGCAGAAAGCACACGTGTTGGTATGGCATTGGATTTGGAATTGGGTAAAATAGCTGAAAACGATGTCACTATAATAGCATTTGATCTCATGTCTACATTACCTACACCTCATCTTTCAACTGAGATATGTTACTACAAAAGGCAGTTGTGTGTGGACATACTGCTTAGGTATCCACAACTTGTCAAGTAATCAGGCCCATGTACGTTTGGTATGAAGCCACAGCATCTAGAGGATCTCAAGAGATTGGATCTTGTATACATCATCATCATTTAACCCGGATCTATCCACTGCTGGATATAGGTCTCCCTCAGTATTTTCCAAGTATTTCTGTTTTGTGCTGTTTGCATCCAATTTTTGTCGATCCGTTTTATGTCATCAGACCATCTTGTTGGTGGACGACCTCTACTTCGATGTGCTTCTTGTCTCGGTCTCCACTGTATTATTCGCTGTGTCCATATGTTATCCGACATTCTAGCTATGTGCCCCGCCCAGTTCCACTTAAGGGTCATAATTCTTTCTATGGCATCTGTCACTCCTGTTCTCCGTCTTATTTCCTTGTTCGTGGTCCGATCCCTACGAGAAATGCCTAACATCGATCGTTCCATGGCTCTTTGGTTAACACAAATTTTATTTCTTACTTTCTTGGTTAGTGTTAATGTCTCTGCACCATATGTAAGTAAATGTATACAGCATTATGTCAAAAACTATGTTAATTACTATTTATAACTGGGAATAAGCCACATTAAAGATAAAAATACATTTATTGACGTTTCAATTTCCAATTCGGAAATCGTTCTCAAAATACAAATAGTAAATTAAACAAATTTTGTTTTTTTGTTACATAGTGAAAAAAATTCTTCTGATAATTTAATTTTATCTGACTCATTTATATTGACAATTCAGACATACACTATGCATTTTTAAAGTAGACGACTTTAAAATGATATTGCCAATATTGTTGAGTTGCGCTCCTGGGACGACTTTACTTATAAGATAGTTCATTCGATTACATGAAATCAACTTTAACTTGAGAATATCCGTCAGAAAAAATCATAGCATGTAATTCGTCTTTAAAAAGACAAACACATGACATGATGACAGTAAAATTCTCCTGTTAGTGATTCCATAGTAAATTTTCTGACGGATATTCTCAAGTTAAAGTTGATTTCATGTAATCGAATGAACTATCTTATAAGTAAAGTCGTCCCAGGAGAGCAACTCAACAATATTGGCAATATCATTTTAAAGTCGTCTACTTTAAAAATGCATAGTGTATGTCTGAATTGTCAATATAAATGAGTCAGATAAAATTAAATTATCAGAAGAATTTTTTTCACTATGTAACAAAAAAACAAAATTTGTTTAATTTACTATTTGTATTTTGAGAACGATTTCCGAATTGGAAATTGAAACGTCAATAAATGTATTTTTATCTTTAATGTGGCTTATTCCCAGTTATAAATAGTAATTAATTTACAATGCCACAAGAAAATAGCTTCAGAACAATATTAAAAAACTATGTTAACACGTCAAAATTAATTATGTATAGTCACCAATGCGGAGGGCAGAATAGGAACATTAAAGTGTCTCTATTTTGTAATTACATTATATATATATATATATATATATATATATATATATATCCGGTTTTTAGGCGTTACGCCCGTCCGGTAGGGATCTATGGAGGAGTATCACCGAGCCGCAAGCCCTTATCTCTTGCCGTACTGCTCCACCATATAGTCTAAGAGCTAGTGGGCGGCTACCTATATGTATTTGACGATACCTGGATTTTTGTACAGTGATACCCCTATACCTACTGTACATGAGATGGAGAGTCACTAAGCTCCAGGTGGCCGACTTGGCGGGCGCTCAGGTAAGACAGGTATCAATTTTTGGCCAATTTTATAAGTATTTGACGACGTCTGCCGCTTTGATATTTGAAAATATATTAAT